TTTGAAATAATAAATACTTTTTTTTTTTTAGAAGGACATAAACATACATAATGTACATTAGCATTTAAATATGTAGGAAACAATTTTCCTTTTTTGTGAGTTCACTTATGCTTATCCCTTTTCCTAGTTTGACAACAGAAAGTTGTGTGTAGTTCAGATTTTTGGGGAGGTAGTTAGGGGTGCTTAAACTTAGTGAAATATTATTTACTTTGTATATACAGTTCATTTTGATAAGATACTTTATGTACTCCTTATGTAGAAGTAAAGTATCTCACATTTTTTTAATGAGTATATGAATTTCAGCCAGTTTCTGTTCCATAACAACGTCATGACCCTGATTCTTAACAATTAGAAAATATGGCTTTTTTGCTAGTCTTTGAGTTTTAAATACCTGACTCTCCTCTTTACTTTTGTGTTACAAAAGAGCAAGTGATATTTCATAGTTTAAATTTTTATTTTTATAGCAATTACAATAGGGTTAAATAATCCAGCACTTCAAAATAGGTTTGATTTACTTAAGCTATAATTAAATGTCTGCAACACATAAGAGAAATAAAATTCATTAATTACAAGTAGTAATTCCTTCAATGAAAAGATATTTCACCTTTTAAAAGTTTTTAAGTACTTTATTTTTTTCCAAATACTGTTGGGGATTTGGGAAATGGCAGCTCTTTGACCTTCACACACAGATTTTTCTTTTTAATCAGAGAGTAGGAAAAAACCCCCCATGTTTCTCTCCTTTTTCAGCACCCCTTATATTTCTCAGTGTCTCACATAAACAAAATCTTAAGAAAATATTCTGCAGAAATGTTTGCAGAAAATACTCTTACTGTCTGATGTGATCACTTGTCGTCACTTCTGCAAGGTTTTGTTCTGTCTAATAAGCATGTTAGACTAGTTCAATGCCATTTTTTTGTGTTTTTTTTTTTTAATCTTGTAAGTAAATGTACTATTTAATTAATGCTGGAATGAACTACTAATATTTTAGGGTATGCTGTAGACTGGTTATAATTTCAAATACATATTTTAAATAGTTAAAAATAAATACTTTAAGCTCTATTTTTTTTTTCAGTTCTACTTACTACTGTGTCTAGTATACTTTTTTACTACCTAGTTATTGAAGAATTTGAATTTGTATTTTGTTTACAGGGGTTGATTTTGAAAGCATGGCTGGATCTCACCTGCGGGAAAGAAACTCACATTAAAAAAGCTGTGAAATACTTTGATGAAGCACTGCAGGAAGGCAATGATGTTTTTGCTCTGCTTGGTAAAGTAAGTTTACTTCATGATTTAGTTACTGCGATTAGATTTTAGACAGCCAGCTGTCTTGCTATGGCTTAAGAAATTAATGTTCAGAAACTAATGTGTTTGTACCATTTCTATCTCAAATATGAAATAAAATGGCAGCACACAGTCACCTGGAATATGGTAAGTAAATTTTAAGCATCAAAGCAAAACAGAAGATTTAAGCCCTAAATTGATTTCCACTTGAATTCATTTAAAACTATGATACTTCTGAAGTAGTTTTGTATTTGGACTACCCTGTAAATTGCTTTATAATTAAAAAATTGTTAATTCTGGCAGCAACAGAGACCTGCTGAGTGTGGGTTTTTGGATGGTACGTACTTCAGGGCTTGAAAAAATATTTAATCTGTGGATTGTGTTCAATATCCTAAAATTGTGAGATGCTTTATAGAAAGTTGTTTGGAACCCAATAAGAATTTTACTCTTCAGCTCCATTGCTCTGTCTTGCTCATAACTGACTAGTAGCTTGTAAATGCTGCAGTTACCTTTGTTATGGAGAGCTTGCCACGCACCTGGTTTTACGCATCATCTTTTGCTCTTTGACAGTTGCAGTATCTTTAGTTGTGATTGATGCTGAAGTAAAACTATTACTTAAAGATTTTTCTCTCACTAGCTCTTTTTCCTTGTTTCTGTGTGAAAGAACTTCTGAATCTTCTTACCTATGTGAGTGTACAGGCTCTTGATGTGACTTCTCTTCCTTCCATTAGGCACAGTATTTTGAGGTCCGACAAAATTATTCGGGAGCTCTGGAAACTGTGAACCAGATAATTGCAAACTTTCCAAACTTCATAAAAATGTAAAGAAAATGAAGCTACAACTAGCCTTGCAGGACTGGGAGCAAGCAGTTGAAACAGCACATAGGTTGAGTATGAAGTAGCACACCGCTGGTTGCATTCTTGCCATGTTTACGCTAAGAATGCTTTGAAACAAAAGTAAATAGGTTTTCATGATTTTTTAATGAATTTGGATTCGTTAAATCAGTTTTCTAAAAAGAAAAATTGGAACTAAACTAAGTGTTATTAGAACCCAGGCTTGCAGTTCTGTGAGGGTACTACATCAATGTGTGAATCCATTTTGGATGGAAAATGACCTTTTTTGAGATAGGCATGAAGTAACAAAACTGTGCTTTCAGATGAGAGCTATGATTTAAAGTAACTGTGCAATACAAACTATTTTAGTCCCCTTTTAGGATAAAACAGATGATTGAGCAAAAGTTTTGTTTTCTTTACATTCACTTTTTGTTTGGCTTTAGACTATTGCAGAAAGATGCCCTCAATTTAGAAGCCATAAGAATGGAGGCTCTGCATTATCTGTGCAGGGAAGGAAATATATCTGAGGTGAGTCTTTTTATTAGCAGACTGTTGCGCGTAACACAGCCTTTGTAGGGACTAGCTGCCGTATGCACTACCTTCTTTATGTATTCTTGTCTTATACTTTGTCTGGTCCTGTGCTACACTCATTCTCTGCAGGAAGAGGTATGTTCACCTATTCTGACTCAAATGGCTGCTCTCGCTTACTGTTGGGGTGTTTTCTGGATGCCAAGGGAGACATAGTTTTTTTACCTCCATCTTTCCAGAGAACAGGAATCAAGCCAAACAGAAGTCTCCACTGGACAATTAATTTGAATGGTGTTGATTTGAATCATCAAAGCAATCTTTTATTGTTTATTTGCTCTTTTGATAAATTCATAAGTTATTGTAAACCTTCCCTTTATTTTTAGTATTTTATTAATTAAAGGAAATAATGAAGTGATGTAGTGATAAATTTTTTGAAAGGTGGTCACTTGCCATCGCTGACTGTTGTTAAGTTGTATAACCTGTGCTTTGTTCACCCTTTTTTGACAATTACTGGGGAATTTTTAGCTCTAAGAATTCTCTTTAACTTTTCCTTCTACTCCCAAGTCCTTTTCTGCACAGAGATATATGCATGTATTTTGTACGTATGGTGCTTGTGCCATTTTTCAGGAAATTCTAGAATACTTTATCTAAATTGTAACAAAAAACATTTTTTTTTTTAAATGTCCTTTTCTCATTATGCAAAAATGCTGGGATAATTTAAGTGGAAATTTAACAAAAAAGGTGAGGTGTTTTCAGTGTTTTGTAGGTTTTTTTCAAGTTCTAGAGTAAAAGGTATTTTATTTTTAGTTACTGAAAGTACTCTTTACTCATTAGTGTATTTATAATCAAATTTAAGTCTTACTTATGCATAATCATAGGAAATATGGAGAAATAGTGACAGTTGCAGACTTCAATTCAATAAAGCCATCCATGAGTGAAACTTGCTGGACATGGTAGGATGTAAACAAAAGATTCTGGGGTAAAATGTCACATGTGACTGAGACCCGTATCTAGTGAAAGATTAAAAAACCTGATGAAATTTAAAAATGATCCAGGTGTCTTAAGTCTAAAATCATACTAAAGCCCCCCATGTATCTTATTATGGTAACCCCAGAAATGTCTACCTTAGGTGAGAAACTGTGATGTTAAAAGTCTGACCGTCTGGAAGAGCTTTGGTTTTGAGCACGTGTCTGTATCGCACCGAATCCCGAACAATATTCACAGATAGGATTCCTCAGAGTGGCTTGCTTTTTGGGACTTTCTGTTACACCAGATTCAGCTGAAGTCTTTCACTTTTTTTAGAGCATGTATAGAGGATACGATCTACTTTATTGTCACTTTACTATTCCAAAGTATTCCAAAATAAATTTTAACTCCCAGCCCTGAAAACTTCTGAGTTTAAATTTAAACATATTACAGCATAGTAAAATATATGACCACTTTTTAGTGAAAACTGTTTAATTGTCCTAATATGTTCATTCTTTCTATTACTTATTATGTTACTCCTTTTTCTCCAAGGCTTCAGCAAGACTGGGCGACCTAATTAAAGCACTGGACAGGTTAGAACCACATAATTCGCAGCTCTTCTGTAAAGTGGCCTTAGCTTTCAGTAGAACAGTGAGTATGCATTTTTTCTTAAACAGTATGCAGCTATCTATATATCCTGTTTTTTTGTTTTATTTTCTGATAGACAAATGTTAAATGTCTTCTAAAAAGTAGAAGATTGTAGACAATTTAAATAGATTACCTTGCATAGCCTTTGGTAATTACTTTTAAAAAGTTTTACATTCAGTATGAATTACAGTATTTAAGCCACCTCATTCTAAAATGTTTTTACTGCTTACTTTTAAATGAGAAACAGATTTCCAATGTCCGCCGACCATATTCTTAATGTAGGGAAGTGACAAGGTTAATCACATGGCCTTGAAACTGAAGGTTTCTTTAATCTTTGTATTTATTAGAGTTGTTTTAAGAAAGCATTCAAAGCAACTATCAACTATTCCTTATTGAATGGTATTGTATATTTATGTTTGAATCGAGCACACTTTAAATGTCACAATTTTTGTAGAATTACTACAGATTATATGAGATGATGTCGTCTCAACTGCTACAGCAATATTCAGTATGTTTTTCTAAGTGAATCTGAAAAATAAGGAAAACTTAAGGTTTAAAGATTGTTCTTACCATTAGTGTGGCCGGAACCAGCTCATCCTTCAACATACACAAACCTTAGTTGAAAGAGCATCTGATTTGGATTCTGACAATGCAGAATTTGCTACTGAACTTGGCTACCAAATGATTTTACAAGGGAAAGTGAAAGAAGCTTTAAAATGGTACAAGACTGCTATGACACTTGATGACACAAGTGTTTCTGCGCTAACTGGTAAGGTCTTTCACTTTCTTTTGGTTTTACTGGTCTTAAGACGCAGACGATGCTTTTTTGATCAAATTTTCTTACTACTGCTACTAGGAAAATCTGTAAGCATTGGAACAGTAGTGTTGGGCAGCACTTCCTGATTCATGTTATGCTGTCTGTCTTGTAGCAAGTTTCTCCTCACTGGATGTGCCTTTTGGTCTTCCTTTTGAAAAGTGAAACTTTTCTCTTTTCAGTTAGAACTCTCAAAGTAATGGTAAGGACAGAGATATGGCTGTATAATTTCTTTTGTTTTATTTCTTTAGTGCCTAAGAACTAGAGAAATCTTAGGCACTACTAAAATAAAAAATTCAAGGGCAGTTGATAGAACAAGCTGTCCATGGCTACGTATGTGTCTGAATTAGATTTGAAAAACATAATCCAGTCAAAACATCTGATACTTTTGATTTACATGTTACGTTCTTTAAAAAAAAAAAAAATTACTTTTGATGAAGTCCAATTGCTGTCAAGAAAATGGAGTGTAAATAGGGCATACTTGCTTCACGGATTTTCTTCTGCATTTTTTTCTCCTTGACTATGCCGTTGCCTTCTAAACTGAAACTTCAAACAGAATGAAAAATTTAGAGGGTAGGAATGGTTTGTGTGTGTGTGTGGTTTTTTGGTTTTGTTTTTTTAAATTTCATTTTGTTTCTTATACTACTTCTGAATTAGAAGCCAAACTTTACGGTGCTTCTACTTAGCCTAGAACCAGTTGAAGCTCTACTGGTTTTGACTTTGTAATGTAAGGATGAGATCTTTCCATGAAACTGCTTTATAGCATTGCATATATTAGTATATCAATTGTGCATCATCGATCCTAGATATTTCTAAGTACATAAAATCTACATTAGCATAAGTCTTGATCTATTTTTTCTTCTCGTATCACCACTTTATGAAGAGGTTGAGGAGAGAAAAAGTTAATTCTGGAAAACCAAGCATGTGCTTGACTAGGAAGACAAATCTGCAATAAAAATGTTTAAATGTTACAGGAATTATCCGTTGTCAGCTAATACAAGGGCAATTAGAAGATGCAGAGCAACAGTTGGAGTTTCTTAATGGAATTCAACAGTGCATTGGGAAATCTGGGGTAGGAGACATCTTCCTTCCTTAAAATACTTTTGTATTAATCTGAATTATGGTCTACTGGTTACTTCATGTTCTGTATTTCAGTAACTTGAGCAGAGCATTCTTAATGGAGTACTATTAAATCTAAATTTTAATTTTTCTTATCAGTCTAAGTTAACGCATTGCCTAACTTTGCAACACAAGGCTATTTGCAGAGCAAAACTGTCATTGCTTTCCTGCAGTGCTTTGTCTCTGAAGATAAGTTTGAAAAGTCAGAAAGGGAGGGATATTGATTATTTTCAGGGTTTCACACTCAGAAAAATGTAAAGCTTCTTGCAAAAATTAAAGGAATGCATTGATATAATAATCATCGGTGCCATTTACAGTGAACATACTAAATGTCTTACAGTATCCCTAAATATAAAAAAGAAATGGTTAACAAGAATTGTACAGTATTGTATACGTAAGAGATGAGCGTATCTGGAAATATTGAGGACTTTTTTTTTTTTTTTCTGTAGGAATTATCTTTCTTGCGTGCAGTCCTAGCTGTGAAAAAACAAAAGAGACAAGAAGAAGTTATTGCCTTGTTGAATGATGTTCTGGATACTCACTTTTCATCTTTGCATGGTTTTCCTCTTGGTGTGGAATATTTTGAAAAACTAAACCCTGATTTCTTGCTAGAAATCATTAGGGAATATCTTAATTTTTGCCCAGCACAGGTAAGCAGCTGGAGGTCATTTCTGTCTGAAAATGGAAGGTATTCTTGGATTTCATTTCTAAATTTTTGCTTCATGATTAACTGATCTCAAAAATTTTCCCTATTAAAATGTTTTATGTGCTCTGTGTGTGTACTCATACTTTTTTAGTATCTCTTTTGATCAAGAAACTGTAACACTACAGTGAATAGAGCTATCTCAATATGAAACTAGCATGATCCTATTCCTGAAATATTTTTGTCAGCTCAGGATATTTTTTCAATATATATACGTTCTTTCTTCATTTCAGTTTCTTCTGTGTGTTGGTAAAAATCATTGGAATACTATTTTTTTTTTTATATTATTATTACTAATTCCAAAGAAAAATCTCACTCAGATGTCTGATTTTCTGTGACTGAATTTGCTTGTGCTAGTTTTGGCTACAAAGGCGTGTAGAACTTAATAAATTGAATGGAGACCTGATGTCTAAAGCAGAAGAAACACATTTAAAGTTTCTTCCTTAAATAGATTATTCTTCTGAAATAGCTGGGAGCCAACTTTTCTTATCCTGTCATTAGCAGATTTCTAGTCTAATTATAGAACCTTCCCATAAATACTTGTTTATGTACAGTTTTCAAATCTAACAGGCAAATGAGTAGTTTTCCATTGTTATGATCTGTCCCACCATCTGTAATGAAATGGTAATGTTTAAAAGTCTAAAACATCTAAAACAATGACAATTTTGTGTCACAGAAGGAGATAAATAAGAAGTGTCATTCTATGAGGTGCTGTCTTCTCTGAAGATTTCCCTGGGGTATATTCCAGAAGTACTTAATGGCAATGATCGTTTTTAATTCAAAATGAAAATTGTTTTTCCTGAATTATTGTCCATAGAAAGATTTGTAAAAGAAAAGATAGGCTTTTCCTGAAGTTTCATTATCTCTTTATTGCAAAAAGCAGTTCGTGGTATTAGAAAGTGAGTTCAGCCAGGTGGTGGAGGCTTCAAGTTTGATAGTGGAGGGCTGCTGCTTCCGCAAGGCATAGGTCCTGTGGAAACATTAGCTGTGAACAGAAGGACCTTTAGGTTGCCTTTTCCTTTTTTTATATATAACAGTTAGCAACTAGCTAAAGTAATAGGGGGAAATGAACGTTTCTGATAATGAGCAACTAAAATGTGGTACATTTTACTAGCAGTTTAAATGCAAGTAGCTGTTTCTCATCCGCTATGCTCTAGCAGTATGGATATGTTCCGTGGTATGGAATGAGAGTAGGAGGGACAGGACTAGAACTTTTCTTCTCATCCTTCTGGTCATTCATTCCAAATTCAGCTCTCTTGAAATTTAGTTCACGTTATCATTGTGTTGGATGAGTTGGCTTGGTAATTCAGAGTATGCTGCCAAATGTTTATGGACTGACTCTTCAGCTTATGTCAGGTCTGAAGTGTTTTATCATCCTTGAAGTCCATGAGGCTGTCGTGTTCCTGCTAATACCAAGAAGTTAACCCCTTAAGTTTAAAACATGTATTTTTGTATTTCTTCACAATGACAGCTTTCAGCTTTTTGGGTTGAAGAAAATAACAATGCTTTGCTCTAGCTTATTTGAGTTTAAAGTGAACTCAGACTTCAAATGAAATTTAAGTCCAAAACCTGTCAACTGAGGTCTTGTTTGGTGGTTTGTTCTATTATTTTTTTTTTATTTTTTTTTTTTTTACTTCTAGCCTGCAAGTCCTGGGCAGTCGCCTTCACCACTTCTCAAGCACTGTGCTTCTGTTCTTGAAACTGTGGTAAAAACTGTGCCTGGTCTTCAACAAGCTGTCTTTTTAGTTGCAAAAGTGAAATACTTGTCAGGTAATAGTTATATGAGTGGTTAGCTATCCGCCTCTTTAGTTGCTTTAATATAAAAAAATTAATTTCACACTTTTAAATCACAATGGATATTTTTCTTTCACGAAAAGAAATTAGAGCATTAGAGCTAGGTGAAGAACATTTGTACTGCCTTTTTTGTGATTTATATGAATGTATCTTAATTGTACAGACACATAAATATGGTATTTTTTTAATCTATTGCTTCAAAAAAAATAGTATTGAATGATTTACAGATGTAACAATGGGAAAGTATCTTACCTTTAACCTGGTTTTGACTTCATTTCATAGCCACATAATACTTTGTATATGACTTTATTCAGTAAGTGCTCCCATTTATTTAAAACCCCAATAAATTATAAAATTAGTGAGTAATTAATAAGTGCTCTGTATTTAACCTCTGTATTTCATATCAACTACTTTCTTGTTTTCCCTTTTTTAACTTCCTAGGAGATACTGAAGCAGCCCGTACTAATTTACATTACTGTCTTGAAAGGAGTCCTTCTTATGCAGATGCACACTTACTGATGGCCCAGGTGTATTTGGCTCAAAACAATACGAAACTGTGTTCTCAATCCTTGGAACTTTGTCTGAGCTACAATTTTGAGGTGAGTTGGACAAAAGAATGGAACCATTTTATTTGGTCAATCATCTGCAGTTGTATGGTTTTGTATACAATAATTTTTAGACAGAACCTTTTATGACTCTTCCAATACACGTTTAATATCCAGATGTTTATGTGGACATGGTATGTGAATATTTATCAAAGAAATGACCATAAAGACAAAGCTAATATCTTATTACAACATACTGAAATTGTTTTGAAGTGTAAAAGAAAGAAGTGGTAGCTTTTTCTCCTTATGTAAATATTAAAAGTCCTTACTTAAATATTAAAAACGTTATATAAACAGAACATGTAATTCCAAACTAAGCTTGCAACAGTCTTTAAAAGCTGACATAGAAGGACTTGAAGAGTGATCCGATGTTTCTGGACTTTCTGCGCAGATGTACAGTTGCTAATGAAGATTTGCACAGATGCATGAGGGGATAAGGAGTCTGTAGTTACCTCTTGGCAATTCAGGCTGCTTTAAGCACTCTGAGTGTTAAGAGATTAGCCATAGGCTATGCTGTCTTCCATTTGTGTCTCATCTCTGTCCCTCTTCTGTCCCTTCAGTAGAAATTTTGGTAATTTATGCATGGTATTAGAAAACTCAGTGTTTTGCAGTAGTCCTCACCAATTTTATTTCTTGGGACTAATACATTGCAGTATGGAACTTGATTTGTTGACATCGCTGGAACTTTATGTAGGTTTGACAGTGAGTTGGGAACACTCCACAGCACTCATTAGGTCAGAGTTGTGCAAAGTCTCTTGACAGAGCTTAGGTGAAGAGTGACAAACTACCGTTTCCTTGGAAGCATGCTCCCATCTTGGTTCCTTCCTCCAAGTGATGTAAGAAAGCTGAAGGTTAACTACCCAGTTAGGAGACACTGAGGTGCAACTTTGTACACAGTTACATTTCCATTATTGACATTTCCTCTTCGTGTGAAGTATATTTTAAGAAGGTGGAGAAATGGCAGGCAGGACTTGTGGTAAATAATGATTGTATACTTCTTTTAATTAATAGCTTGATGAAGTGTGCATACGGCAGCATGGGAGATGCTCAAAACCCCTTAAAATTCAGTCTAGTTTCAAGTAACGCTGTAGTGAATGTTTCTCTATCCCAAAGTCTCATCTCATGTAATGCTTTTCCTTTTTTAATTGAAAACTTAATTACTAGTTTGCGTACTCTTTCAAAACTCTAATATTCTCATAAGTAAATTACTACAATTGAAATTGGATATATTTGGAAGAAGAAACAGAGTTCAATATTTAAAAAAAAATAATTTAGAAATTTTTTTCAAAGGCTTTGAATACTGTGCAAAATTTTGAAACTCCTTATCTCTCTTTTTTTTTTTTTTTTTTTTTTTTTTTTTTTTTTTAGGTGAGAGAACATCCTGTTTATCACTTAATTAAGGCCCAAACTCAGAAGAAGATGGGAGAATTATCAGAAGCTATTAAGACCTTACAGATGGCAAAGAATTTGCCTGGAATGAGAAAACCTACAGCTTCCTCAAAAATGAAAGGAAAAATAATTGAAATTGATGCAAGTGATCGTGTGTCTGTCTTCCTAGAATTAGTAGAAGCTCATCGTTTGAATGGAGAACCGGTAAGATGGCAAACTTAGTAAGATGTAATACATACCTGAAAACAATTTCCACTTCCCATTAACAGAAGTGTCTGTCCTCATTAGTTTGGCATAGAAAACCATCACGTCTTTTACCAAGAGGATTTTGCTTGGTAAAATTTGCAGAATATCTGACTTGACAGCTTGTACGTTATATTGTATAGAGAAAAAAATCCTACTTGCAGTGCTCAGTTTTGAGTCTACAAAACCATTTTTAATTTTGAGGTGGAGATACTGTTGATGTTCATTTGCTGGCATGTAGATTCCTGTTTTGCTGTCAGAATGCTATTGGAATTATTTTTGGATTCTGTCCTTATCTTTGTGTAGCAGAATCCTTGCTATCAGCTGTATCTTACACATACGTAGTGTCCTACTGTCTAGTAAGTATATAAGGTGGCATACAGTCGTATAGTTGGAAGTGACCTCTGGAGGTCGTCCTGCTTAAGGCAAGACCTGATAGAGCAAGGTGCTAAAGGCATTGTCCAATTGAATTTGAGCAATCTCCTTGTAGTGCAAGTGTTGTTTTCTCTACTAAAACTTCTTCTGGTAGTTCATATCACAAAATCTTATTTACAAAATCAACAGGAAAAAAAAACATTTTAAATGTTTTAGCAAAATGAATGGATAATATGGTTTGGGGTTTTTTTTTGTTGTTGGTTTGTGTAATGCCCTTGGACATTTGCTTTATGATCTCTTTATTTTTGGCTATTCAACAACAGGAAGTACATTAATTCTATTGGTTTTATTATTTGCAGCATGAAGCTGCTATAATACTGCAAGACGCCATTAATGAATTTTCTGGAACTCCTGAGGAACTAAGAGTTGTGATTGCAAATGCAGATCTGGCAATTGCTCAAGGAGATGTTGAACAAGCCTTAACTATGCTCCGAAATATTACACCTGAACAGTCTTACTTTGTACAAGCTAAAGAAAAAATGGCAGATATTTATCTTCAGTACAGGAAAGATAAAAAGTTATATGCTGGCTGCTATAGGTAAAAGTTTGTGGTGTGTGTATATCTTTTCCTAGATGTTTAATGGTAGCATGGGGAGCTAATTTTTTCCCTTTCTGCAACAAGTTGGAGATATTTAGTGACATGATTCATTTGAGTAAGTGTTGTAACTTTTAAAACAGTATTTGGAAGTCGTATTTTGGAAAGATATCTCTCTTTTTTTTGTTTGTTTGTTTGTTTTATTTTCAGAAATAAAAACTAAAATCTGTAGAGGATAAAACTGTTGTGCCCTATTTGTTGTTGTTTAGATAGCAGTATTGACATGGTAAATACTGAGCAAGGTTCTGTCTTCTGTTTCCAGAGACCTAGTAGAAAAACTGCCAAGTGCTCATACTTTTCTTCTTCTTGGTGATGCATACATGAATATTCAAGAGGTAAGTGCATTCTAGAGATGAATAGAATGATTGAGTCATTTGTTGACTTTGACAAGTTGAGAGAATGTAGCATATTGACTGTTATTGATTGGTAGTTGGCAAACAGAAACTGCTTTAGGATGTAAAAAAACGTAATTGCTGCCTATGAACATTAACTGTTCTGCGTTCAAAAAAGATGATGTTGAAAATGCATTTCTTCTAATAATTGACCAATTGAAAGCCAAGGAGAGAATTTTATCTAGAACACTGACCCATAAGACTAAGAACAATCTAAGGTGAGAGCTAAATTAAATTCAGAAGGAAGTTCAGATGTTTAGAAGAGTTCTGAAGCTTAAAATAATTCTAGGAACTTAGTTTGCATGTTGAGTTTTATTTTAAAAATTTAAATTATTGGATTGCTATACATTTTTTACATCCTTAGCTTTCATGGTGAACTGGAAATGTTATTCAGTATTTGTACAAGACAGGGTGGTCAAGTGGACATAGGAATTTGAAGGATACACATTTAAATTCATATTTTGAAAGAATAAATTAGGTTAGGACACACAACTGATAGTTTAGCTTACTAGTTTGAGGATCTGTAGGTGATTAATGATTCTTTACTTATTCATGTTTCTGTGTAGTTTTCTCCTTCGTGAAGAATTATAAAGCAAAAGGAGATTTGTTTAGATCTGCTATAGCATGGCTAGAGGAGATACATCGATGATGGTCCAAGACAGTTTGCATAAGTTTGTTAACTAGTGAAAATAGTAGTAAAGAAATTTCACTGGAAAAAGAATCAGGGTAATACAAACTCATTTGTTTGCCAAGTTCTCTCCACGTTCTGTTTTAGCATGGAAATGTAAATTTACATTGGCTTTACACTTCCTGCAATTTCATATTGACCATTCTCTCAGAAGCATTGTAGTTTATGAACCAGTAGTACTTGGCAGTCATTCCTGGAGGTGTTAGCAGATTTTGTTTTCTTCATAAACTTATCTTAATCCTTGACTTCTGTGTTTTTATCTTTTACTGTTGAAGCCTACTGAAGCCATAGAAGTCTACGAGCAGGCCTTGAAGAACAATCCAAAAGACCCAGCTTTAGCAAGTAAAATTGGAAAAGCCCTAATCAAAACGCATAACTACTCAAAGGTATTCTATAAGTGCTGTATTAGGCTAATTAAGTATTGTGTCCATTGTTGTCAACGTGTGGGCTTTGTCTGATTTTGTTTTCAAGTTGGGTAGAAGAAGCATTTCACCCTAAAGCGCTAAACTAACTTTCTGTAAATTTGTAGATCCTTTTCAAAGTATCTAGCCAGTCAGTTCTGTGGCCTCTGCACAGGACAGGGAGGGGAAGAAAGTATTTTGGGACAGCCTGGGAAGGAAGCAAGTGGTGCTGTAATGCTGGGGAAATGGTGTGGTTGTACACTTGGTGCTTACATGCAGGAATCTTGAACTTCAGTCTTTTGTGTTTTATTTCCGTCTCACCGAGCTTTTTAGTACAATGTTTTTGAATAGTCTCCATGTTGCCAAAAAGACTTGTTCTTACAGTATTCTTCTGTGTATGTGCTGTGAAAGAAGGTGAGAGTTTCTCATTTGGTTTTTGGAGCAAGCCAACATCTTCCCAAGGTGGCACATATAGAATATATGTGTGGCTTTGATGTGGATTGATAGACAAGTTTAAATTACAGGGGAGATGGTGCCAACTTCCTAACTTTCAGTATTTGCTCTTTTTTTCTAGTAACTTGTATTGAAATAACGAACAGTAAATGGGTACAGAAAGTACCTGGGAGACAAAGAGAAATGGCTCTGTGCTTTGTGTCAGCAGTGCCTCTTCCATAAATGCTTAGCACACTCTTCTTCTGTACTCATGGGAGTTATTTTAAATAATGGTCTCTATCTCTCTTGGACTTGGAAGAAGTTAGGAGGAGGGCCACAAAGATGATTAGTGGGCTGGACCACCTCCACTATGAGGACAGGCTGAGAGGGTTGGGGTTGTTCAGCCTGGAGAAGAGAAGGCTCTGGGGAGACCTTCTAGTGGCCTTCCAGTACTTAAAGGGGGCCTACAGGAAAGGTGGGGAGGGACCCTTGATCAGGGAGTGTGGTGATAGGACAAGGGGTAACGGTTTCACACTGAAAGAGAGGAGATTTAGATTAGAGTTTAGGAAGTTCTTTGCTGTGAGGGTGGTGAGGCCCTGGAACAGGTTTCCCAGAGAAGCTGTGGCTGCCACCTCCCTGGCAGTGTTTAAGGCCAGGTTGGATGGGGCTTTGAGCAACCTGGTCTGGTGGAAGGTGTCCCTGCCCATGGCAAGGGGGTTGGCACTAGATGATCTTCCAACCCAAACCGTTCTAAATTGTGTGGAATCTATCTTCTGCCTTGGTTTCATTCAGGGTAGGACTATTAGCTCCCATTATCAGTTCTTGTCAGGCTTAATACTGATTGAAGGTTCCAGTCTGAGTTTGTGTATTGTTAGCTTAGATAAGTGATACTGCATGGACTCTTTCAGGCAATGTACTAACGTACTATCATCTTACTTACCTGTTTAAAGTTACATGTTTATTACCATTGTGCCAGGAGGTTGCCGAAGGAGAAGCATGGTGTTAGCTCTGTGGAGTAAACCCAAAGGTTCTTCATCTTCTGGGAATGTCTATTTAATAATTTTTTGTGTGTGTGTGGTGGGGGGAAACAATTAATGGTGGGGGGACAAAGCAAATTACTAAACAGTGACTGGGGAGTTCTCTGGCATAGAAATCCCACTAAAGATTTCTTTCTTATCACATTGAATGTGAGATACTCAGTATGTTGTTCCAGGGAATATATTTGTGACATGAGCTAGTTCTTGCATATGTGCAATGTGATTAGTCAACTGCGCTTTTACTGTTTTCAGGTTGGGTAGAAAGAAGCCTTTCACTTTAAAGCACTAAACAGCTTTTTTGTCCTCCAAGTAAATTTGTAGATATCCTTCAAAATATCTAGCCAGAGGCATAGTTACACATTGGTGGATACAAATCTGCTTTAATTCTGGTGACTTGCAGTTTATGTGGTTTTTGGGCCTGCACTCAAAACCATGTTTAACAGCTACTCCGTTGACCCAGTCTTGTTACATCTCCTAGCTTTAGCATTGGCTGGCAGAATGGTAATAGAGGCTTTAACCTCTTAGTGTAGGAGAAACAGAAGAAAATGTTTGGGGAAAACTTGCAGGAGCGAATTATTTTATTTGAGGAACCTCAGACTACTGGAGGGTGTGTGCAAATTATTTTTTATGTTTGCAGTGTTAGAGCATCTGTTTAGGTCAGTATTACGAGCAGCTCAGTATGATTCCTATCTTGCTCCATTATGCTTCAGAGCTCTATTTTTGTCTCTGTAATAATCTAATGTACTCTGAGGTTTTCTAGAGTTGCTATAGAAAAACTTGTAATCCGTGTGTTGATAAATGTTTTCTGGACTTGAATTTTTTATTTTGAGTCTTCAGCTATATTATCCTTAGGATGCCTAAGCTTAAATAGGTAACCTGCCTGATAGATGCATTATTATGCATGTTTAAACATGTTCTACTTTAAAACTATAAAAGTTAATAAAACATTTCAAATTAATTTTGGAAATGCAACTTTTCAACATCATTTCAGTTCTCACTTTCCCGTTTACTTAGAGAAGTACCATCCTATTTCAAGACTATTTGAGTTGTTATTTTGAAGTGGTTTTTTTTTTAAAAAAAAAAACAACTTATGGAATAGTAGTTTATTGATCCAGAACATTGCTCTTATTTTTGAGTAAATATTTGAATGTTTTAATTGCTATGATTGTCAGGTTTTATGTTTAAAAATGCAGAGAAGACTCCTTTCTATTAGATTATGCTTAGTTGGTATCTTTAAACTTTTCATTCCTTTTTATCTTCATGTTTTGCAGTCAACTTTTGGAAAATATTCGTCCTTTGTATACAGTGAAAGAGAACTTTATAACTCTAGTCTGACTGGAATTACACAACTTCGGCAGCTAATGAAAATGTGGTTTAATTGGCAGGGATCCTGTCAGAGATAGAACATGATAATGTGGTTAGGCTATGAAAATGCGTGTTTATCAAAAGGTGGACTCTAGTTACTCTATTTATCTCTAATTTGGCATTACATTTTTGGAAGCCTGAACTTGCAACTAGATAACATGTTTTTGATACAATACTTACTAGAAATGACTTGGTTACAAGAGAAGTGAAGAAAGTAGAGAAAACTCTAAGCAGTGTCATTAAATACCTAAGTAGGAAGGTTGTTGTCTTTAAGATTTATCTTTAAATAATACTCAGATTTTTGTTTCTTCCTTTTAGGCAATCAGTTACTATGAGGCTGCATTGAGAAGTGGTCAACAGAATTTCCTTCGTTATGATTTGGCTGAGCTTTTAATGAAACTGAAGCATTATGAAAAGGCAGAAAAAGTACTTCAGCAAGCTTTAGATCACGAGCCTGGTAGGAATGTTACTAATTTACATTAAAACATACGATTTCTCCTGTTGTTTGTGTGTTCCGAATGATTCTAAAGAATAAACAAGTTCCATATAAACTTTTTTGAACTGTAAACCACAGGAAACTGTTAAGTGATAAGAGAAATGCACTCTAAAATAAACTTTGCTTACACTTAAAGATGGTTTTGGCAAGACTTTTAAACTTGGAACATCTGTGATAGGTGAAGCCAGTAAGTACAATAGTGGAGCTCCACACATGCAAGGTTCTTTCTCTTCTGTGCTAACAAATGTTCTGATTCTGAATTGGTCAAATAGAGATGA